TTGGTAACAGTGTTTTTGACACCGCTGCCAACACACTGACCTGCGCGTGATCGATTCTTTGACACTGCTAAGAAAACACCACAAATCGGCAGAGAAATTAAATGCCCAAAATTATCTGCTATTACCAATGCTTCACTTTACCGACCGCTCAGGACGAACGAGAGGCGAATAATATAATATATTAAATACATAGTCCTTCTTTAGCGCGTTTGCAGGCACTCGCGAGCTTTCAAAGTTGAGAGACGAAATTTTCTTGAAACTTCCAGACACCATAGTAAATCGTCCATATATGAAATGAAATATGAAATAAATAGTTTATCTTTATTGGGCCACTTCTTTTTTGCTAATCATATTAACTGGTCCTGGTCTTGAAGAGATTTGAACGGCTGAAGAAATGAACATCGGATGCGATGTTGCTAACTTCGTTCCTTCCTGTTTTCAGCCCTACTATCCTTGATTACTCTCTTAACGACGGATTAAAAATTCTTTCAAGCGGTCCCTCTCAAGGCGCAGTCCTCGAGTTTCATTTAGCAACATGAGCTCATCTGCGTGTTTTTAACGATTCTGCCACCTGTCGGCTTACAGCACTCGAGAGGTTCCTGCTGTGGGCGGTTCTCATTTATTGCTCAAGAGGACTAGATTTTTCCATGATGCGTTTCTGATGCCGGGATAAGGTTGCCTCCCAAATATGAAGAATTGAGTCACTCATATTCGTTCATGTTGAATAGTGATAGGGAGATATTTGAGCTAAATACTGAATTAGCAGGCAGAGTCAGATTACTTTAATAGTAGGTAGGCACTAGTTGGAGCAGAAATAAATTAGCAGTCACGCCCAAAAAATTTAGGTCTGACAAACTCGAAACTGCTATTATTGTCACACAATCCGCAGACAAAACCTGACTCACTTATGCCTTGATGGTGGACTCTACACAGAACATGGTTTCATCTGTACGCAGGCCCAACCCCTTTCTTGTTCTATATTGTATGTATATTGTGTGGTTGAAGTGATCAAATCGAGGGTTTTCAAAATTTAAAAAAATTTAACCAATTTCTTTCAGACTGAGGCTCTCGTTTATCCCGCTTTTACCTTTGTCCAAATACATGTATCTTCTAGCTTTAAAGATCAGCTTTTAATCAATTTAAGACTCCACAGGTTTCTAAGAGGAACTAGTCATCCTATAAAAATGCTGGCACCTGACGGAAAACGCCTGTTCCCTCTGAATGAAGAGAACAAGAAGGCAAGTAGAACCACTCAGAAGTTTTGACTGGAAAGTTGCACTCATTTCAGATTTGATGGTGAGCCTACTTCCCTATTGCGTGCATTATAGCTTCCTTATGTTTCAAAATTATCACAATAGAAAATTGAAATAGGATTTGAATTCAACTGTGCAGAAGTGCAAGGGTCTTTTTTTCGTATGCCGAGCTCTACTACAAGATAGGGAATGAGCTGGATATGTTATGAGCGAGAAGTGGTCTTCACAGACCCGCCCAACCACCCATTAAGCCGTTAATATGTATACAGCGGTCAATCCTATGACGTGCATTGTATGGTTGCAACTCTACACACAGCTTTCCTGAGTATTGAACATAGATGCTCCTATAGCTTCTTTGTATCTTACGGTAAAATTCCATTAATACAAAGGACATACTACTTATAGACAAATTTTTCAGTGTATGCCATTTCTCATCCAATGTTCTTCAACACTCGTCTACAGCAGTAAAACAGTTTAATAGAAAAAATACAAAGTAATACCCGACAACGCAATACATGTCATGCCATCTCTTGTAAAGTTTTGCGACCATATAACAACCTACGAGGAATTAGTGAACAAATAAACACTTTCTCATACCCTATATTAGACGCCGTTACTGAACAGAGTTCTCTTTGACACCTATAGTGGGGGCCCAACGAAGTTTTTTTTTCGTCTTTCTGGCGAAATTCGCTTTGATGAAAACCTCAGACCGTCTGCGCGGGCAGATCTCAGAGACACTAAGGTGATCGACAAGGTGGTCAATGAGCCCGAACGACCATTAACCAGTTACGTTCGTTCCAAGTACATCACGAATATCTGAGGAGAACAACAAGCTAGAAGGTGTTAGCAATACCGTTCTCAGGTGTTCCAAACGATAAAGTCGACCACTTGCCATAGAAAGCCAGAGAAAGAACGGAGTGCGTAAGCATTAGTTCATATAGAAATCTACAGGAGCATTAGGACAAGTACACAGTCTTCAATGAAGTGATCATTTATCGGCGAGAAGCCATCGCTTTTTAGCCAGCAAAGAATTTGTGTTTAGAGTCGGTCCAGATCGTTGGGGCGATCATTGTCATTTGGGGCCTGTGTCAGCGTTTCTGTTCGAATTATTAGTGGACGAGACGTCGCGCTGCAACTGGACGACACTCCCTCGGCATCCATCGTTCCATTGCGCTTTTTATTTCTGAAAAAAGCAAGAAATGGATTGATAGCGAAAGCGTATTTTATCACTGAAACAACGATAGCAGAGATGTCAAGGCTGCTTGAAACTCAGAGCATAGCATTTATCGCTTGATTCGCATGGTCTGCGAAAAAAAAGTACGAAAGAATTGAGAAGTGAACGAAGCTAATGCGAGTGAAATTAGAGCGAACTTTTCGAGCGAACACAACTCTAGATCGGAAACAAGCCAATGAAGGCCTTTGAACGGCCTAAGCTCGCATTGAAATACCCCCACAATTTCCTGAGTTAACAACTCACTCCGAAAACGGCTTTCTCAGACGGCAAGGGCGAAGGTACCAAACAATCCTACCATATCAAAGCTACGTTCATATTACAAAAGTGGAAGGAACGATGGAGAAGGAAAGTTGTGAGAATTCAAACATCATGCTGTTGTTTTTGAAGAAATCAAAATCAACATTGTTGCCCCGCCTCAATGGACACGAAAGTATAAGGCAACTTTTGATATTTTTAAGATATTAAAGGTTTCTCAAATCAGTGGTCTACACGAACCAACGGAGAAGGCTACCAAAGTAATTGTAGCACAATTATTAGCATCACTGCTTAGATGAATTTCCGAGAAGTTATAAAAGAAAAACTCACAGAAAAGATCGAGTAATTGAGCTACACGGCATTCGCCATTCTTATATGCTCATGTGATATAAAAAACAGTTCTAAGTGCAGTTGCATAAACGGCTGCTCCCTCTCTCAAAGATTGCTTTAGAGTGCAATAGTATAAGGACGAACTAAAAATGCCTGGCATATCTGAATGGGTGATACAATGTAAAACCAGCATTTTGGTATGTATTTTGGTATTTATGGTATTTTTTGGCTCAAGTCTTATTTCCCCTCATTGATCCCAAATTTGGCTGTGAAGGCAGAAACACACTGATTATTACCTTGCATGGCTCCCATGTATCAATGAACAGGTGCTGCTTCGGATGGAAGTTGAATGTGTGCTCCTTTCAGAGAAGGATTTGAACAGCTCCTGAACATTTACCCTTTGATCGTCTGAACCCACAACGTGGGAGAGAAATGACGATGANGATGAAGACTCGATAGATTCCCAAAGTCCCGATCTCTGATGTGCTTCGGTCACTGTCAGTCATCAGTCACCTGCACCGAGATGAATGACATCGCCGAGAACCACTTGTTTATGTAATGCAGACATGCTCAGACTGAGCGGCATGCCGTTCGTACTGTCAATATCGATTCCACATGGGAGATTCAAAGCTGTGCAGTAGTCGGGTGGAATGCAATTCATCCTGAGCTTTATAGGGCCACCAGGGTAGGAGAAGAAATGTGTTCAAAGCTTGCGGTGCTGAAGAAGCACCTGTAGAGGTGTGATTAACCCAGACAATTAGTTAAGAAGAAAAAACTACTCTGTGATAATGCCCTGCCATTTCGGGACATCTGACCAACCGTAAACGGAATGAGAGGGGTTGGAAATGATCTAGAGGACATGATCAGATTGAAATGAAGTGTGTTTAGGCGATTCAGCGGTTTAAACTGCTGCCAATCGTCGCCTTCCTTTGCAAATGTGGGCACATGTTTACATCGCAAAATAAAGATTCCAATCAGCTCAAGAGAATGCAGCTTGAAAATTCTAGTCAACAAAGGCTCATGGAATCCATTTTCAGAATGTTTTCGAATCTTGAGCTGCATTTCATCGAGTTGATCAACTTTGATGAAAAATGGTAATTCTCAACCTACTTTTCTATCTTGCTGTCATGTCGACTTGACATTCGTCGTATGCTGTGGCCGAGTCGACTCGCAAACGACGCCACAACCTGAAGGAAAGTATTATAGTACAGATCAAATAGGGACCAATAAATAGGTGGATGTGTGAGAGGGTTCCTACTACTATAGTGAACACGGGTGCTTATGCTTTAGAAAGTAGTGCGCCTAGACCAAGGGGTTGTGCAAACTACATATGTAAATCTAGAATTACAGTACAATCACAATCAAAATCTTTTTCTACTCAGTTATCAGAAATGCTGTGCAATGTGCTACGCCATCGAAAATTTCACTTTGTTCACCTGTGTCTGAGCTGAATCTTTCTGTAAGTACAAAAAATTAGTGCACTAATCAGATCGTGCCACTTCGAAAACAGCAACTGCCCTAATAATGACCTTGCCAGCGTTTAACAAACTTACATGTGTATGCTTTAAACAATGGTAAAGAGTGTAACAGCTGACTTGTGTCTCGCCTATCACACTACGACTGCTGACGGCTGTCCACAAGGATAGGAAGCCGCGCGCAAGGACTGTGGCATAGGCTCGGATGACTGCGGTGGCCCTGGTCATGCGAAAAAAAGTGGCGAACTTCATGACAAACGTCGTAAAAAAGTTTGATTGGTCCCGATTCGCCTCGTTATCCGCTCATTATCGCCCCATTCCGCTGTACAAATGTTATCGTACGGGTGCTATATTATGCCCAGAACGTATTTCCTCAAACAAGGCTCGAACCTACGCCCACCATTTACAGACTTCGAATTCGAGTTCTGCCCAATCTGGTCATAACTCGGAGACCTATATGACAAAGTCTTCGTTATCCCTTCCCAGTAGACTTGATGTGTTTTCATTCTTGAGGGTCACAAAAGAGACGAAAAAAATTGAAGAATAGATCGCGCGGTATAGTTAAAACTAAGGAAAAGCAAATTCTTCCAAGCCCTCCACTTCCCTTATAAAATATATTGTGATAAGATACATGTCATACTGTGCCTGGGGTTTAGGAGCCCTAGCTCCTGTTAAGGCCGAATTTTACGATATCCCCCAAGCTAGCTGATTACCAAAAAATTGCCAGCGAAGGAGGCTACTTGATACCCACTGGTCGGCAGGAATAATAGACGAAGCTCGGAAAAGGATGGGGACTGGCGGCAAAGAAGAAACTATCGAAAGACAAAAAGACATGCTGCGTAAGAAAAAGTGTAACCAGCAAGGTCATCAGCCACTGTTTGGCTTCCTAACAATGAGTGGATGATGAAAAGAAAAGCTTTTAACCTCAGAGGAGTTGATGATCTTGCTGAGACCCGAGCGTTTCTGCTTTCGCGTCAGCCAGAAGAACAGCACTGGATTCCACACCACTAACGACATTGCGATAACGTGTGCCATTAGCGGCCATAGGAACGGCTGTGCTCGCAGAAACGCAGGCTCGATTTCTGAAAAAGGGGACGATTACTTGGTAACCAACGTTCAGATCAGGTGAGAGTTTTCTGAATATTACTTCCTTCTATATAACACTTCTGTATAATCTTTTACAGCAGAAATCGAGAAGTTCGGTCAAGCGTTGCGGTTCTGGTGAAGCGATCGATTAGATAATCATTTACTCTATTTGTTGATGATGAATCAGCTATTTATCATTGGAACTAGAGCTTCAACTCACACTTTAGCTTACCACTCAGTCCCCCTTTCCTCGCTGGTTACCTTCTAGTATGCTCCTGCCTGAGGGAACCTTATTCATGCGCAACCATTTTTCCATGTCAATTATGGCTGCTGCGGGCATTCTTCGAAACATTCAGAATTCAAAGTATTAGCATTCCCGGAAGGGGAAAAATGTTTTTGAATTCGCCCTTTTTAGAAAGCGCCAAGATGTTCGCGCTTACTGAAGGAAAAGGTTCATTTGCATGGGTGCAGAAGAATGCCGAAACATGTCGAAGGATGCGAAACCAACTTTTCATCACACACGTTTCTAAAAGCTGTGAATTCCATCAAACTCTTTCTTTTCATGAATGGCTTTTAGACCTTCGGCTTCATAAGAACTTACTGGTTGACGACTATATTCATTTGTTCATTTTAAAGACCTTTCCGATCTTATTTTGCTTCTCTTCGAATCACTAATTTGTCAAAAACTTCCATGGAAAACGCGATTAAAGCAAAGGGAATGGAAAAGTGTTCTATGAACTCACTGTAATCCTTGACTAAATTGACCGCTGTTAGCGGTAACCAACAACAGATGAACGTTGCCACCATGCCAATCAGGATATAGTTGACCTGAAATTGGAAAGTGAGGTATAAAAAAGGAAAGAGACATATGAAAGCCAATAATCGATAGAATCACTATTACTACAATCATTAATTTTAATACAATCATTATTACTCATCTATTAAGAGCGACCCATGAGCAAGACCGAGTTACTGTAGCACAGTTGACTGTAACTGAACAGCACCAAAAGGCCAAGAATCGCAGAGTGTCACTGCTGACACATGCACGGTTCGCGGATGGAATTCCCAGTCGCCATTTGCTTGACCAAGCAAAGCTACTCAACTACAGAGACTAGGTTATTACCTGTGAGAGTCCATTTGAGAGGTTAAAAACGCTGACTCGTTTATCGACTGGCTTGTATCGGCCAGATGCAGATTTTGACATCATTACGAGTCTTTCAATAAGTGGAAGCGTGGAAGCATTCTAGAAGGGTTGAAAATACTCTAGAAACCTGGGTAGTTACCTTCTTTTTCCGACTAATAGCGTCCACTCGCTGTTTCTGAGAAAGTGACGCCGAAAATTGCACATTTTGTATGATCATATCCTGTGATACTTTCCGTAATATTCGGAAATAACAGTAAGTGATGATAGACATAGGAATGACGAACTGAAATAAGAAAGGATTTGGATCGGTCATCAGTGACTATGGAAATCAGAAAAAAATGCTGAGTATCATGATACAGTACCTGGAGCAGCATCACCATCGTGCCGTAAAGACGGCGTGAATTTTCGCTTTGCCAGTTAGTTTCGTCACAAAATTTACCACAATAGGGAGGACTAGAATGATTTCAGTTACAGTTTTTGGTTATCTGTTAGGGTTTACCCAAATCATTACCTGTCTTTAGGCACGTAATAAGATCCGTCGACCAGTTCATAACTGAGCAGATACGGTACATTGATTAAGGTGCTTAGAAGCCAAATCAATAATGTTATAATTAGAGCTTGACGTTTCTGAAAGCAAAACGAACACTGAACAACCTGCCCCCTGAGTTGCCCTGTGTAATGGGTAGGAGCTTACCGTAACCGGCGCCTTTGTCGGATCGATAATGTGAAGGTATTTGTCGATAGAGATGGCAGTGAGACTCCAACTGAAAAAGCCAATCTCTCATTTTCTAATGGAAAACCTCCCTCAGGAGTTAATGAAGAAGTCTCCGGAAAAGCTCAGTGCCTATTTTAAAAATCACCTGGTCACAAAGACTGAACAGGAATTTGACAAGGGCATGATATGGCACATTGCTGAACCAAACTGCCAGTTTTTTGTGAGTGCGTACCTGCAATAGATCATCCAGATTTTTGTGTAAATAGCTAAAAATAAGCCCCAGTAAAGAGCAATGAAGAAATCTGAGAAGGTTCACCATGGTGTGACTGGAACGGCAGTTAAAACCAGCAAGAGATCGGTAAGGATCAAATTGAGCAGAAAGATATTCCTGGCCGATCGTAGTCGACGATTATTCGCCATCGCAAACACCACACCGCCATTTCCGACGAGGCCAAGTATAAATAGCAGGCCATACACGAGAGTGAACGCTGATTTCACAAACAGCTGTCTGAAATATTAGGATTTCGGAGAGATGGTCAACGTTGACAAGGCTCATGATGTTAGAAGCCCTGCGCAATTACGCATGAGACCATTTTTTCTACATTTGAATGGGGTGACCTTGCCTGACGTCGCTTGACTAGCTAACCATACACGGGGAACTGCTGCAGAGGCCCACCCCGAAAGTGAGGGCAGGGTGATTAGTGCCAGTGAACTAGCCGTATATAGGCCGAGGGCGCTATATCTTCAGTAACGCTTCCAATTGCACATGATCAATTTCATATGCGGTTCCATGCAATGCGGAAAGATTTGAAAGTAACGCTCATGTAAATCCTTCAAGGACAGTGGGAGGTGGTCAAATTCTCTGGTAGTGACAACTATTCACCGTTACTGCACAGTAGAAAATTGCCTAAAAATATCATGCTTGACAAGCTCATGAGTTTGTTTTCATTCTTAAGAAAACAATGAGGCAAAATTTCAAGTGTTGTGTGAAGTTATAATTTTTGTTGTCTGCAACGTCATTTGCCATTATAACAGCGTAAAAGTCATTAGAAAGGTATGTTTTTGAAGGTCAGGAACCATCATGGTTCATAAAATAAATGGTCAATAAATTTTTATGGCACTAGTAAGGACTCCGATGACAAAACCTCGACAGGCATTCATGCGGATCTCCTAGCATTATCATAAATAAGTAACACCACTTGAAATGACTCAGAAGTGGGAAGCTGTTGCTGCCAAAAAGAAACAAAGCATGAGCTACCCTGCTTTACAGCCGAAGGATTGCGGCGGAATGACAGCGAACGTATGAGGTCACGTAGGAGCGTACTGTAATCGGAACAGAAGATGTCTTTGAGAATTATTTCTTTTTCCAAATAAATAGTTTCTCTGGAACAGCAATTCGGTGGCAATAGAGCACCCCCTCAACTGGAAGTAGGCGGAATTCTAGTGCGTTCAGAGAAGTAGATGTCTGAGTTAGCTTTCAGAATCCTACAGATCCTACAGGATCTCAGACAATAACTAGCCCTTCGATCACCCTTTAGAAGATGACATAAACAAAAAGGTATTTATACAACTGAGAGAAATAAAGAACGGTCTCGATTAATATGTATTGATTGGATTTGCTCAGTAACGCTTTAATTTTAGTTGAATCAGTTTTTAAACCTTAGCCAACCAAAATTTTCGAGAAATAGCACATTTACAATCAAATGGTACGACAAAGTCTAGCTTGACCGAGACCGATGAAGGCTCGAAAAATGAAAAACAGCCTCGATACCACTTGCCTGGGCAATGGCGCACACTGAAAAAGAGATCCTACCACATTTCTATTAATTGAAGGATCCATTGTTAAGGATTTTCGAGAGTTGCAAGCCCAGACGGATTTCGTAGGACCTTGAATATCTGGATAGGTCAGCCTGCTGGCGAGGCCTTAGCTGATGTTTAGGCTACAGAGGGCTCCACAAGCAATACATACGAGAAGAACTAAACATAGATAGACTAGTATGAACTCAACAACTGCAAATTGTCGCTTCCATGGCATTAAAAAGCCTGGTTCTATGCCATGGAAGCGATAACAAAGTAAAGATTCGAAATGGGAACATTCGTCCTCTTTGTTATTCCAATCCAACCTTGTGCGATCTCAATTTCATTCCTTCTTACGCATAGAGCTTGGAAAAGCTCAATTCATTGAAATCCTCAGCAACAAACTTGACCGAACCTTTTGCTGGACTGTTGCCGGAACTGATTTAAAAGGTTCTTACATGTTTTGCCCATAACGTGTGCCGGCCCCGAAAGGAAAACTGTTTGGTCCTTAAGAAAGGCAAAGCTAGTCTCCACTGCACCCTCTTGCTGTTCTCAAGAGAAAAGCGGGCATAGTTCAAAGCAAATTATCGACCGGAAGTCACCGTGCAGTTGCTATGTCCAAGTTTTTGTTCGGACCATTTCGAAAAAGAAAAGCTTGAATCTGGATTCTTTCACTAACTTCAGCCTAGAGCTTTTGCAAATGGGTCTTAAATTCCGTAAGAATCCATATTATCTCAGAGGAAAGCCCCAGAAGTTAAGCGCTCGCTCCCTCGGCTTTATTTCATTAGGGTTTGTTGCTTCCGAATCAGAAGACACAGCACTCCGAAAAAAGTGCTCTCAATTAGATTACTCTTCTTACTTACAACAAGGCTATCATCGAGCTCATAAGGGGAGTAACGAGCAGTTCCCATGTACATAGAACTTTATACATCCACCCATTGTGGACGAAAGCTGCTGTATAGGAGAATAGTAAAGAATAGGAAAACTGTGAGTCTTCGGAATTGAAAGGTCGGCTATTCATCCTTACAGAACAGTGCGTCTTCGCCGGCTCTACAACTAGGGATTCACACAGGAGGGCAAATCCTGAATACGAGCCGAAGTCTGAGTTTTCATAATTGCATCAGTTCAACAAATCGTTTTCAACTAGGCACCCATAAGAGAGGGCTATACCGAGACTAGAATCGCTAGAAATTTCAAAAAAGGTTGTTCCAATTCTTAAATCAGATNCCCCCCCCCCCCTCCCTCCCTCCCCCCGATCTGACCGAGTTTTGGTTAATGATATCCTTCGGCTACCTTGAAGTCAAGTACTCTTACAGAAATTTCAAAAAAGGTTGTTCCAATTCTTAAATCAGATCATCAACATGAAGGCAGGCGTTTTGTCAATTCACAGAATAACCAAAAATCCGCGCTAGCTCGAATCTTCACATTGTGTGCAACAACGTCAATCGAATTTATTAACTAAACTGCATTACTGACAAAGGCGAAGAGAAAAAAAATAAAATGCTAACGAACAACAAGTTGGTTATCAGGGTGCAGGACTTTGTTTTCTACGGTGCACAGAGTGCTGGACGAAAAATATTTGTGATTTATCCACGAAGTAACACATAGGTCCAGTTAAACACGGAAAGAACCTTGTGCATCTTAATAAACAGGATTCTTCCTGCTATTCTCTCGGACAGTGCGAAGCACTTTTGCTCGGAACTACAGCGACATTCAAAAGCATGGTTGTTTTTTTTTCAGGTGGAGCGGTATTCAACTCAAAATTTCTTCACATGGGTCGGTATTCAGCTCCCGAAACCGTTGTAATACCATTTAAAAGACTCACAGTAATTCGTGAGATTAGATGAATGAACTAAGAGCATTGTGAGATTCCTAGACCGTGAAGAACCTTTCTCCTCACCTTCACTCGAAGACCCTCCCTTATAGAAAAACGTGATACGATCCCTCCAAACCTACATGAGAAGCGCTAAAATGTTATGCCTATGGCGTCACAGCCTTGACGACATAGATATATCCCTCATTTGTGATATGACTGTCTGCTGAAGTAAGCAACGTTCCAGGAAACTACGTAATAGTATTTGAATAGGTGATTAGCAGCTGGCTGAGCGCTATGCCTTTGCTTATAACGGAGGCATATTGAAAACGACTAAAGAGTGTTGCTGAGCTGCAACGAACATCCGGGAAAGAAATATCATTGACTCATCAAGCCAGTTCCGTGTTCATATTTCCGCTTTGCAGCCAATTCCCTGGTTGTTTTCCCGGTTTGCAGCAAGTCGCTTTCGCAGCTATATAATGTCTCCTCTGCGGATCATACATGTGTTCTCCCCTATAGAATCTATAGCTATAGGAATCACTGAGGCTGTGAAAGACAAAAGAAAAAAGCAAAGTTTCAGTGAAGAAAAAAGTGTTCGAGTTCAGGGGAGTGCTTCAAAAATATTGATCCCTAGGAAACTGAACATGAAAACACAAAAGAAAGTAAACAAAAGAAATGAAACGTCCATCCGTTCACTCTAAGATTGTCATGATCAGGCACAAAAGAAGAAACTTATGAATCCTTCAAATTACACGAAATTCAAGGCTCTCCATAGAACTTTGAGAGAAAAAGAGAGGTGGAAGCACATTGAAAAAAAAAACCTCGAAGGACAATCTCAGAAGAAAACATTCCGAGACATGGCATGGTTCCATGCAAACGCTCTTACAGTCAGCTTATTCTCGTTTTTTTGCAATTGTATTTGGCACCTCTATTGATTATCTCTCGTGGTTTATTGATTACCTACCGTAAGCAGTTGTCTCCCATGTTTGCCTTATGCAACGTCTTCAATAGATAAACAAATAAACTCGTCTCAGTGTCCAGAGATCCGAAAAATAGCTAGGCTTCAATGACCTCAGCCAACTCTTCTAAGTCAGGTTGTGGATTGATCCAAGAGTCATTTGGGCTGATTCTTACAAAACCAGTCAGAAGGGGTATCCAAACCAGAGTAAGGAAGAACAGGAACAGTACCGATAAAAAAATCATGTATTCCTTTCGCCAGTCTAAATTAAAGCTGTATAATCAGTGTTATTATTTTAGGCAAGAGGTAATAGTAAGGAAGCTGCCGAAGAAGGATGCGGAAGGTTCCAAGGTATAAACCAATATCGAGATGAATTTGCTGCGGAAAAATCAATAAACAATCAATAAAACTTACGTGGTGACGTCATCAAGGCCTTCACTTCGTATGGCGTCAACTACGAGTATGCAGGTGGTGTTCTCAGTCATCCATACACCGAGAATCCGGAGGAGATATTACCGTGAAGTCGTCAGCTGTGGCAATTGGACAATAGCACCAGCACGAATCACCGCCGCATTGGCCGCAGAGCGCACTGAAATTGAACGGCGCCAGTCAGTCAGAAAACAGCGCGGCTATACTGTAGGATACGGTAGCTACGGTAAATCGTACGCGATAAACACATTATATTCACAGTAGATGTATGGCGCTAATTTTAAGCAGAAAATCACAAAAAGTTCAAGATCCGTAGAAAACGGGTTGAAAAACGGATAATGAGAAGAACCGGTTAATATTATGTATTGGAGGATGAAGAGAAGATCAGTGGCAAATTCATTCAAAGGAGGTAATAGTGGTTGTTAATGAGTAACCCGAAAGGTCTTGTAAACGATAACGATAGGATCGTGATGTCAAGTGATGATAAGGCGGAATTGAAGACAAAACGCACATTGCTCAGCACCCGAAAACGGAGTGCTTGTGAACTTTTATGAGTACAGACTTCTTGCACAAATAACTATAAACTTCTTGCACAAATAACTATAAATAAACACGAGCGCCCTATGATTTTGTGAGAAAAAAATCGATGCATCCAATAGCAAACAACGGTAATAAATTGTGATGGTAGGGAAGCAAAAATCCAACGCGAAGACGAAAATTTAGTTAGTATTATAGAAGCTAAATGTGCACGTAAAATATCTAATTTAGTTCGATGAGTTCACTTTCAAATCATCGACTCGACTGTTTGAGTATGGGCCACTCACATGGGAAAGAAATGGAGAATGCGATGTTCGAACAGAAGTACCTTCATGGAAGTTGGACCTCTGCCCCGTACTATTGCTTTCGCTCGGTTTTACAGATAGGGAGTTGGTGGAAGTGGCTCAGAAGTCTAGAAAATGACCTCACAAGGTTTCAAAGGCGCTGAAGTTGTTTGATGACGAGGTATGAAAGAAGGAGTCCCCACTCTTGAGATGAGATAGAATACGTGAGATGTCTAAATAGCGGAACACATCGTCTACGTGAAATCGTGCCACAACAGCTGCCGCTGCATAGAGTCAGAAGCAGAGGAAATGATCCTCGGCGGCCGCATGTGAGTAAGAGATCTGGGTGATCAATCGTGCCATCGTGCTTCATCTAATCGGCAGCTGTCCACAGCATGGAAAAAAGAACCACTGAGGAAAAACCGTAATAGCATTTCTCCGAAAAATGCTTGTTTGATCACTCAAAGTGATTAATTATAGTGGGGAAACACTCAGAAAGAATTTTATTTGGTTGTCATTGA